ATAAGCTTTCCATGTTGTTGGTCTATAATAGGAAAACTAAGAAGAGATTTAGTGCACACTATTTATAAGCAAATATTATCGTGTTGTGATATGATGTCTTCATGCAAAACCCTAATGACTTGGGAGTAAATGTGATATTCACATTGATTTTGAGTGATATGTGTAAGGACACCCACCACAAGAATATCCAACTGCTATTTGGCAGTGCCTGTTGTTATAGCAATGTACAGGACCTCTGCAACACATTGAGACACTGTCTGGGGCACTTTGAATTGAGTTCAGGGATCTAGGTTCGAAATTAAAACAGGCAAGGAGGATAATATTGTAAGTTAAACTGGTGCTCTTTCAGTTAATATCTGTGTAGCTGGTACTAACCTGAGTGTTAACAAATGTATATCCTCGTTCTCAGGTAGCTTTGAGATCAGGAGCAGGGCTTGTGTCTCTGATACAATTGAACATATTCATCATCTGTCCGTTGCTCACTGAATGCTGGAATCTGATATACCTCCTGCTCTTATCCTATCATGTCCCAGTTTCCTCTTGTCTCTGAATTCGGGTGTTTAAACAGGTTTGAATTATATAAGAGTCAAATGTCAGGTCTTCATAGACTGTATACTCATAACTTCAGTTCATGGAGCCTCCCATTCCCAGGCCTCCATACAAATATGAGAATTCATATTGAGTGCAATTCCAGTGGCTCAGTGATTAACACTGCTGCCTGACAGCCTCAGGGACTTGGGTGCTATGCCATCTATAGGTGACTGTGGAGTTTGCGTATTCTCCCCAGGTCTGCATGGGTTTCCTCTCACAGTCCTAAGATGTACAAAGTAAATGGATTGGTCATGCTTTAAGAAAAAAACCTATTGAGGCTGATGAGGTGGCATGTCCTTTGGAGGGCTGGTGCAGACTTGATGGACTGAATGGCCTCTTTCTGCACTGTAGGGATTGTATGATTCTAATCTGTGTTTTCACAGACCATCATGTTGTATCATCAGATCATAAGCAAATTTCAGCATTTGATTTATAAGTCTGAAACTGCCCAAAGCCTCTCCATCATTCAAAAGGCACAAGTCAGGAGTGTATTGGAATACCCTGCACTTGCCTGTTTGAGTGAAGTTGCAACACTCAAGAAGCTCAATCCGCTCCAGGAGAAAGATGCCCATTTGTTCAGTCCTGTACCATTCCTCAGCATTCAATACCCTCCCAAAAACCGCAGAGTTGCAGCAGTGTGTACCATCTAGATTCATTGTAGCATCTCAACACATCTCTGCGCATCTTCCAAATGCAGGACCTCTACCACAGAGATGAACATGACCTTCAGACGTATTCGAACAACATCACGTGCAAGTTCCCCTCAAAGCCACGCTTTCTTGTTCAATGTTCCTTCAATACTGCTGGTTCTGATTTGGAAAACTCTCTCCCCACAGGCATCCTGGGTTACTTACGCCTCATTGACTACAGGACAAAGAAGTCAACTTTCTACCTGCTCCCCCATCTCCCATCAATGACAATTGAGGATAAGCAATAAATAATAAACAAGGCAATCCCTGTCAGCAATGTATCCATTCCCAGGAATGAATTAAAATGAAATGAAATATGTGATTATATGAAGAAAAACACTCAGAACAGGGTTTGTCCTTCATCCTTCAAGCAGATTTAGAAAGGTGCATATAATATTGTGCTTGTAATTGTCTGAAGTTATTATTGTTAAAGCATTAATTTTAAACACCCATTTGTAGTCACTCAAATTAGCTCTTCCTTTGAAATGCTTGAGGCTAGATACAATGACAGCTCTGAAAATCTTTATGCAATTGATACACATCTGTAACCTGATCATGTTATAATCAATCACATCGAGTTGACCTTCGCTTGAACTTATAGGACGGGTTTACAAAGCCTGTGTTACTCAGCACTCCCTCCCTCCTTAAATATCACCTCATGGTACAATAACTGTATTTATCATTTTCTTGATAAGTATTATGGGAGAACTGCTGTGGGATCTTCCTCGCATGTCAAAGCAGTGATTTATTGGTGACCCCAAAAAGGGGAAAAGGGGAGTTACACAATTGAGACCAGTCTTCACTTCAATCGTGTTAAGGTCAGAGTCCAGCTGATGCATATAACTAGGGCTGTAGAGAGTGCTTGAATTAAATAGTTAGGAGATTGTTGGAGATGGTCATTGCCTGGCGCTTCTGTAAAATAAATGTCACTTGCCACTTAGTAACAAAACCTGGATGTTGTCCAAGCCTTGCTACATATGGACATGTGCTGCTTTAGTGCAAGGAGCTGCGAATGGTTCTGAACATCGTACATACATCAGCAAACATCCCCACTTCTCACCTTCTAATGAAGGGAATACCATGGACCATTTTAATAAAGTGCAAAAGTACCTTTAATCCCTTATTGATCAGATTCAATTTATGATATCACTTTAATATAGAGATAACACAGTGTTGAGCTGGAGGAACACAGCAGGCCAGGCAGCATCAGAGGAGCAGGAAAGTTGACGTTTTGGGTTGGGACCCTTTCCTGCTCCTCTGATGCTGCCTTGCCTGCTGTGTTCGTCCAGCTCTACACTGTGTTATCTCTGACTCCAGCATCTGCAGTTCTTACTATCTCTGAGTATCACTTTGTTTTGTAATCTCAACAGTTGTGCTTTAACAGATTTTATATATTTCAGCTGCTAATTGCTCTTGCTGTAACAGATACAGTCAGCACTGTAAGTGCCGAAAAATGAATTTGAAACAATTGACACAACTCAGATCACATCTTGTTTTCCCTTCAATTGCCCCACATTGGCCAAGCAAAGCCACAATTGCAAAACTCATCCTTGATTCCAAACTTCTCCAAAACCTCGCCTATTTTTGTACCTGTGACTGATTCCAACTGAGATGTCTACACTCCTCCAACTCTAGCCTCTTGCACATCACTCTATCATTAGGATCTGTGCTTTCAGATACTGAAGCTCTATGCTCTGGAATTTCCTCCATAAACCCTCCAGTAATTTTACCCCAACCTTAAGTTCACCTGGACCATCTCTAATACCTCTCTCTCCTTCCTTGACCTCTCTGTCTCCATCTCGGGCAACCACCTAGAAACTAATATCCATTTCAAGCCCACTGACTCCCACAGCTACCTAGAATAGACCTCCTCCCACCCACCTTCCTGCAAAAATGCCATCCCCTATTCCCAATTCCTTCGCCTCCGCTGCATCTGCTCCAAGGATGAGGCATTCCACTCCCGTACACCTCAGTTGTCCTCGTTTTTCAAGGACTGCAACATCCCCCCCCTCAGTGGTCGAGAACGCCCTCAACCGTGTCTCCCACATTTCCCGCAACTCATCCCTCACACCCCATCCCCGCAATAAGAACCAAAAAAGAATCCCCCTCGTCCTCACGTACCACTCCACCAACCTCCGGATCCAACGCATCATCCTCCAACACTTCCGCCATCTGCAATCCGACCCCACCACCAAAGACATCTTTCCTTCCCCATCCTTATCTGCTTTCCGGAGGGACCACTCTCTCCGTGACTCCCTTGTCCGCTCCACACTCCCCTCCAGCCCCACCACACCTGGCACTTTTCCCTGCAACCGCAGGAAGTGCTACACCTGCCCCCATACCTCCTCCCTCACCCCCATCCCAGGCCCCAAGAAGACTTTCCACATCAAGCAGATGTTCACCTGCACATCTGCCAATGTGGTATACTGCATCCACTTTACCCATTGTGGCCTCCTCTACATCGGGGAAACCAAGCGGAGGCTCGGGGACTGCTTTGCAGAACACCTACGCTCGGTTCGCAATAAACAACTGCACCTCCCAGTCGCGAACCATTTCAACTCCCCCTTCCATTCCTCAGACGACATGTCCATCCTGGGCCTCCTGCAGTGCCACAACGATGCCACCCGAAGGTTGCAGGAACAGCAACTCATATTCCGCTTGGGAACCCTGCAGCCCAATGGTATCCATGTGGATTTCACAAGCTTCAAAATCTCCCCTCCCCCTACCGCATCCCAAAACCAGTCCAGCTCATCCCCGCCTCCCTAACCTGTTCTTCCTCCCACCTATCCCTTCCTCCCACCTCAAGCTGCACCCCCATCTCCTACCTACTAACCTCATCCCGCCCCCTTGACCTGTCGGCCCTTCCTGGACTGACCTATCCCTTCCCTAACTCCCCACCTACACTCACCTTTACTGGCTCCATTCCCGCCTCTTCGACCTGTCTGCTTCCTCTCCACCTATCCTCTCCTCTATCCATCTTCTATCCGCCTCCCCCTCTCTCCCTATTTATTTCAGAACCCCCTTCCCCTCCCCCATTTCTGATGAAGGGTCTAGGCCCAAAACATCAGCCTTTCTGCTCCTATGATGCTGCTTGGCCTGCTGTGTTCATCCAGCTCTGCACCTTGTTGTCTCAGTAATTTTTAGCTCTCTCTTTTTTAGGAGGCTCTGTAAAAGATACCTGTATGACTAAACTTTTTGACCACCTCATAAAGTCTCATGGGACTTGTTTGCAATTTGTTTTTGACATTCCTCTAAAGTGCCTTAAGTCTGACAGGTGTTATATGAATCCAAATTGTCATCACTATTGTTGCCTTGCCATTTGGAAGTGGAACCCATCTGGGTCAACAGGACATCCACCCAAGTAACATAATGTACCTACCTCCTCTTCTTCTTTAAGACTTCCTGGAAATCTAACTCTCTTCTCAAATTCTGGTCCTTGATCTTTATTCCCCAATGTTTTCTTCTGAAAATGCTTCTGTGAATTTGCTTGGGGCAGTTTTTTTTTCTGTTAAAAGACACTATACAAACACAGGATGTTGATCGCATGTTTTTTGTCATTGCATCCAGTATCCAGTATGAGGCTAAGCAATATTCAGGTTTGGGTTACAGAGTTAAGAAACTGATCTCCCAGTGTCCTAGATATCCTATTGACTATTTCAGGAGATTATAATAAATTGGTATCATCTTACAGCAATCCATCTTTCATCTATCTATTGTTAGATGGTGAAGGCGCTGGAGAATATAATAGTCCCCCATATCTGCCATGTAGATGCATTTGCAATCAAGCTGTTGAGACAGGTAAGGAGTTTCCAAAATCAGGCCTCCAGGAAGCAGGTCCCCAGAATCGGATTGAACTCTGTGGGTAGGGATGGAATATATCCATATTCATGTGTGAGCAGTACATCGTAACTAATGATACTTTGGAAAGGTGCTGTTTAATGTAATAATGATGGAAAATTTGCTAATTTAGAGCTTAAAGTCCTCACTATATTTCTATGAATCTCATAGCAGCTTCAGGCAAGGTTCAATATGAAATTAAATGTAGAACTCAAAAGATTGCTATTGAAGATATGCTTCTTTACTATTAGTGTCCTGAAAGTGACTCCTTGCTGTCTCACTTCTCCTTTCATTTCATTGAATGATCTGAATTTCGTTGAATAATATAAGTGTAAAATAAATTTGGCTCAGGCAGTGAGGTCATTTTAAGTCAAAGTGCCCTTTTAACACTGAGATGCATTAGTTACAGCAGTCAAGGTCCATGACACAAATCTGGACTCTTGTTGGTCTAGGTTATAAGTCTTGTTTAGACAACATCAAAAACAGAAATTGCTTACTTTTCTGTGTTCTGTTTTTTGTCTTATCCCGATGTTTATTTCCTTCTATATTTATTCTTTACCTGAGTTGGTAGTGTTTTATTTTATATGTTTGTTTATGGATTGTTAACAATGATTGCATTTCTTGTCCATCCCTAACTGCCCTTGAGAAGGTGATGTTGAACAACATGATTGAACACCTAGAGCCATAGTGCCATTAGGAAAGGACATCAAGGGTTTTGACCCACCAACAGTGAAGGAGCAATGTTATAACTTCAGGTCAGGATGGCGAATGGCTTGAAGAGGGCTCTTCCAGTAGTCGTCTTCCCATACGTCTGCTGCCCTTGTCCTTCAAGATAGACATTGTGTGTTTGGAAGGTATTATTGAAAAAGCCTTGCCGTTTTGCTATATGCTCCACCTCTGGGCACTGCCTATGCAGGGAGAGACTGTTTAAGGTAAAAGATGAGGTGTCAATCAAGCAGGTTGCTTTCTCTTAGATGGTGTCAATTTTTTAAAGTGTTCTTCGAGCTGCATTCACTCAGACAAGCGCAATGTGTTCTATCACGATCTCGAATTGTGCATTAGATGATGGACAGGCATTGAGGTGAGTTACTGCAGTAATCCCAGTTTGACTTCGAGGTCCGGTGTTATCCATCAGCAATTTTCTACAATAAGGCAGGAACTGACTTCATCCATCCAGTAGAAGAATTAATGAGTTAATGCAACGTTCAAAATGCCAGTAGAGGTAATGTACTTTCTCCTCCTCTCTTGTTGACAACAATCCCAGAATTATAGCCCTTCACAGAAAAGCTGTTGTGAAGAAATGAAGACCATCCTTCTTCTGCTCCTTGTCATTGCCAACACTGAGCAATCCCCTACTCATTATGAAGGTAAGTGGTGACTTTATCGTGTTTTTGTACTTGGTTTTGTGAATTTAAACTGGGAGATATAATGGGTGGGACAGTACAGACCAGCTTGGATCCTGGTGTGTACCGTTTCATCCTTTCTCAGGGGGTTTCCGCATTCCCCAGAGTCTGATGTAGGCACCAAACCCTGGATTTATATCCCTCCCCCAGAAATTCCTGGAGTTACATCTCTGTTGTTTGTTGAAGAGGGCATTGACTGTCCACAGGTGATCAGTGCGGTGTTCCCATCAGGAGTCTAATCAATTCAACAATGTGCCAGAGGACAAGCAGTGCCTCTAAGGTGCAACCCAAACATAAATCTTTCTTTCCCTTTATTCTCTCTTCCTTTTGTTCTTCTGTTGCTATGGTTTTCTCTTTTTCTGTCCCATTCTTTCTATGTGCTTCAATATGTGACTTCATCGTTTCAGCTACTTCTCCTTTTTCATGTTCTCGCTGTCATTTTCTAAATAGGTCTCTGGCTCTGTTCTCTTTTTCAGCATAGATACTTCGATTTTCATCCTGCCCCACTGCATTTTACTTTTGTCACTGTATCTTTCTATTTCCTTTCCATTTCATGCATCTCTGCTATCTCCTTGTTTCTGTTGGTATTTCCCACTTGTTTTCCTTTTCATCCCTGGGTCTGTCCAACTCTTCGTACTGACCCCTTCTCCCGCTTCCAACACACCCCCTCCTCCTGGACACCACCCCAAGGCCTCCTACCCTCCCTCGACCTCTTCATCTCCAACTGCCGTCGAGACATCAATCGCCTCAACCTCTCCACCCCTCTCACCCACTCCAACCTCTCCCCCGCAGAACGTGCAGCCCTCCGCTCCCTCCGCTCCAATCCCAACCTCACCATAAAACCTGCGGACAAGGGAGGTGCAGTTGTAGTGTGGCGCACTGACCTCTACATCGCCGAGGCCGGACGCCAACTCTCCGACACCTCCTCCTACCGCCCCCTTGATCAAGACCCCACCCCTGAGCACCAAACCATCATCTCCCAAACCATCCACAACCTCATCACCTCAGGTGACCTCCCACCCACGGCCTCCAACCTCATCGTTCCCCAACCTCGCACTGCCCGCTTCTATCTCCTTCCCAAAATCCACAAACCTGAATGCCCTGGTCGACCCATTGTCTCCGCCTGCTCCTGCCCCACCGAACTGATCTCCAACTATCTGGACTCCATTTTCTCCCCCTTGGTCCAGGAACTCCCTACCTATGTCCGTGACACCACCCACGCCCTCCACCTCCTCCAGAACTTCCAATTCCCCGGTCCCCAACACCTCATCTTTACCATGGACGTTCAGTCCCTCTACACCTGCATTCCCCATGCAGATGGCCTTAAGGCCCTCCGCTTCTTCCTGTCCCGCAGGCCCGACCAGTCCCCCTCCACTGACACCCTCATCCGCTTAGCCGAACTCGTCCTCACACTCAACAACTTCTCTTTCAATTCCTCCCACTTCCTACAGACAAAGGGGGTAGCCATGGGTACCCGCATGGGCCCAAGCTACGCCTGCCTCTTTGTAGGTTACGTGGAACAATCCCTCTTCCGTACCTACACCGGCCCTAAACCCCACCTCTTCCTCCGTTACATTGATGACTGTATCGGCGCCGCCTCGTGCTCCCACGAGGAGCTCGAACAGTTCATACACTTCACTAACACCTTCCACCCCAACCTTAAGTTTACCTGGACCATCTCTAACACCTCTCTCCCCTTCCTGGACCTCTCTGTCTCCATATCGGGCAACCACCTAGAAACCGATATTCATTTCAAGCCCACCGACTCCCACAGCTACCTAGAATACTCCTCCTCCCACCCACCTTCCTGCAAAAATGCTATCCCCTATTCCCAATTCCTTCGCCTCCGCTGCATCTGCTCCCAGGATGAGGCATTCCACTCCCGTACATCTCAGTTGTCCTCGTTTTTCAAGGACCGTAACTTCCCCTCCTCGGTGGTCGAGAACGCCCTCAACCGTGTCTCCCACATCTCCCGCACCTCATCCCTCACACCCCGTCCACGCAATAAAAACCAAAAAAGAATCCCCCTCGTCCTCACGTACCACCCCACCAACCTCCGGATCCAACGCATCATCCTCCGACACTTCCGCCATCTGCAATCCGACCCCACCACCAAAGACATCTTTCCCTCCCCACCTTTATCTGCTTTCCGGAGGGACAACTCTCTCCGTGACTCCCTCGTCCGCTCCACACTCCCCTCCAGCTCCACCACACCCGGCACTTTTCCCTGCAACCGCAGGAAGTGCTACACCTGCCCCCATACCTCCTCCCTCACCCCCATCCCAGGCCCCAAGAAGACTTTCCACATCAAGCAGATGTTCACCTGCACATCTGCCAATGTGGTATACTGCATCCACTTTACCCATTGTGGCCTCCTCTACATCGGGGAAACCAAGCGGAGGCTCGGGGACTGCTTTGCAGAACACCTACGCTCGGTTCGCAATAAACAACTGCACCTCCCAGTCGCGAACCATTTCAACTCCCCCTTCCATTCCTCAGACGACATGTCCATCCTGGGCCTCCTGCAGTGCCACAACGATGCCACCCGAAGGTTGCAGGAACAGCAACTCATATTCCGCTTGGGAACCCTGCAGCCCAATGGTATCAATGTGGATTTCACAAGTTTTAAAATCTCCCCTCCCCCCTACGCATCCCAAAACCAGTCCAGCTCGTCCCTGCCTCCCTAACCTGTTCTTCCTCCCACCTATCCCCTCCTCCCACCTCAAGCCGCACCTCCATCTCCTACCGACCAACCTCATCCCGCCCCCTTGACCTGTCCGTCCTCCCTGGACTGACCTATCCCCTTCCTAACTCCCTACCTACACTCACCTTTCCTGGCCCCATCCCCGCCTCTTCGACCTGTTTGTTTCTTCTCCACCTATCCTCTCCTCCATCCCTCTTCTATCCGCCTCCCACTCTCTCCCTATTTATTTCAAAACCCCCTTCCCCTCCCCCTTTTCTGATGAAGGGTCTAGGCCCGAAACGTCAGCCTCTCTGCTCCTATGATGCTGCTTGGCCTGCTGTGTTCATCCAGCCTTGCACCTTGTTGTCTCCTCTTCGTAACTGTCCCCGATGCCTCTTTTCTAAGGCTCTTTGACTTTGTATCATTCTTGTTTACTGCTATATCTTCATCCTCATCTCTGTCCCCTTTCTGTATCCCTCTCTGTCTTCACTCTTGTCCCATTGTCTGTACCTCTACCTCCATGTTGCTATGTTTCTGTCTTTTCTGCGTCTTTCACTGGCATTGATACAGAATATATCTTTTGTGATTAAGATGAAATTGGCATTGGAAACCATGACATTGCAATTCTCAACGTCTTGGGTGACTTTGAAGTCAACAACAATGGCCACCCGGATAAACCCGATAACCACCACAATTTAACCAGGAGCTGCCGGGAACTCAAAGAGAAGTACCACGTGACCAAAGGTAAATGTTTTCAGCAGAAAATACGATTGCCTCACTAAGCTAAGATATCATCAGTGTGGCTACAGTTCCGTTCAGTGCCTTAGAGACAAACGAAAAATAACCAGTCTTCCTTGCTTCATTACCTATTCTGCCATTAATTTCAGCCAGTGTTTGTAACTCTCACTGACTACTGGAAAAGGGGGAAAAAAACTTATATTTATGTGTCACATTTCACACCTTCAAGAGGTCCCAAAGGGTTTTGTAGCCGGTGGAGAGTTTTTGTAACAATAACTGCTGTCACTCACTGCTGTTACAAAGTCAAGGACGACAGCAACTGTGCGTACAAAGTCCCGTCAAACAGGACGTGAGATGAATGTAAGTCATTTTCATTCTGGGTTGTTGGGTTAATGTTGGCGGGGACACCAGTGAACTCTGCACTAGTTCAAATAACATTATGGGGACTGTATTTCTTGCATCTGCTTCAAGGCAAAACAGAGAGGGGAAGGAAACTCTTGCTACGTGACAGAAAGTGTGAAGTGGTGCTACATGCAGGTCCGCGCTTGAGACCACTACTGTTCACAATTGGACTGTGGAAACGAAACGCAATTCCTAAGTGCACAGATGAGACCAAACTGCATGCACAATGGGATCAGCAATAGAGTGGAGGAGTGCTACAAAATAACAGAATAGCAAGGATGAACTTCATTGAGGTGAGATAGAAAAACTTTGTTTTTGCAAACCTGAAGATGGGACAATTATCGCAAATGAACTTTAACACAGAGAAATATGAAGAGATGCTTTTTGGTAGGAAATATACAAGCATGATCTACACTTTAGAGAAGGGTAGAAGGTTAAAAGGATGCAAGAATCACAACTAGGCATATTGCAGATTTTTTAAAAATTCGTTTGTGGCATATGGGTGTCACTGGCTGACCAGCACGTATTCTCTGTCTCTAGGTGCCCCTTGAGAAGGTGGTGAGCAGCCTTCTTTAATGGCTGCAGACCACCCTCTGTGGGTTGACCCACAATGCCATTAGGAAGGGAGTTCCAGGATTTTGACCAAGCAACACTGAAGGAATGACGGTTCATTTCCAAATCAGGACTGTGAGTGGCTTGGAGGGGAACTTGCAGGTGGAGGGTTCCCATGTATCTGCTGCCCTTGTCCTTCTAGATGGAAACGGTCATGGGCTTGGAAGGCACTGTCTAAGGAACTTTGGTGAATTTGTAGATAGTACACACTGCTGCTACAGAGTGTCAGTGGTGGAGGGAGTGGACGTATGTGGATGTAGTGCCAATCAAGTGGGCTGCTTTGTCCTGGATGGTGTCAAGCTTCTTGAGTGTTGTTGGAGCTGCACTCATCTAGGCAAGTGTGGACAGGCTTTGTACAGTCAGGAGATGAGTTAAGCGCCACAGTATTCCAAGCTTCTGACCTGCTGCTGTGGCCACTGCATTCATCTAGTGAGTCCCCAGTTGAGCTTCTGGTCAATGGTAACCCCCAGTATGTTGATAGTGAGGGATTAAGTGATGATAACCCCGTTGAATGTGAAGGGGTAGTGGTGAAATTGTCTCGTATTGGATATGGTCGTTGCCTGGCATGTGTGTGGCATGAATGTTACTTGCCACGTGTCAGCCCAAGGCTAGATATCATCCAGATCTTGTTGCAATAAAGGAGACAGGTGAGGCTCTTCTGAAGAAAAACTAATGTTTAGACTTCCCTTTGACGTAGGGAAACTTGAGTGCTAAAGGTGGATCAGGGAAATTGAGGCAGGCACTGTGTGCAATTTGTCTGAAACTTCCTTCAGAAAAGTGGTGAACACCACTATGTTCCTTGCCAATGCTACAGAGTCAGAAAAATACTTGATTGTTTGTGAATATTGGAACCTTCAATGAAGAAGCACAGAGTGGACGCTCTTGACTCCTCTGGCCAGTTGCGGAACCCATCGTTGGGAGACAGAAATTTTGCGAGAGTGGGAAGGTACAAAGTAAATGAAGTCATTTTCCTGCTATTGCACTGGGATTTATTAATTCAGCTGGGTAGAAAGTATTGAGAAAAAAAAAGGACAATCACATGCCCACATATAATTGTTTCTTCCACTTATATTAATTGTGAAGTGATTGGAGACACTCTAGTCTATAGCGCAAATCCAATCCTTCATTATGAGAGAGTCTCTTTTTTAAGCCATTATTTTAACCACATTTGACACTGTCATCTACATTTGGTCCTGGTTTTCCATTCAGTCATTCAACACCTAGTTTATTTTACAGGGAAAGCACCTCCAATGTGTCCGTTCGGTTGTGATGGTAGTTCCAACCATTTGACATACACAGCCATTGCTGCTGTCAAATGCTCTTATTCAATTGAATTGCCTAATCTTATCCTCTTCATACAGATGGTGTCCATCTATTCATAACCAGTAATGGTGAAGTCTACCAAGCCTTCTGTGACATGACGACCAATGGAGGAGGTTGGACCCTAATTGCAAGTGTCCATGAGAACAATATACTTGGGAAATGCACCACTGGAGATCGCTGGTCCAGCCAGCAAGGGAGTAATGCCAGTTCTCCAGCAGGAGATAGGTCATGGTCCAACTATGCAACATTTGGTTCACCAGAAGGAGCGACAAGTGATGACCTGAAGGTGATGAGCTTCTGTGTAATCTCTTTATTTAAAACAACGTTTGTCATAATTAGTGTGAATGGGACAGCTGACCAGAGCTGAAGCAACAGAAATAAATATGGAAAGAACAAAAGATCCATTGGGAGGAGCTGAGATTGATTTGTACTTAAAGCCAAAAGGTCTCGTTTGAATTGCCAATCAATTTTGCTGCCCTATGAATGAAGAGATTGTGGTATTTTTCATTTGAATGGTTGATTTTGGTTAGTTGCCTGCCTCCAATTAATTCTATGACTCTGTGAGATGACATTGGTGGAGAATATTGTCCACAGGCCACTTTGCCTGTTAAATGATGTCACTGCAATAGAGGTTCCTTATTCTGTAATACTGGGCTAGAATTTAACTGAACAAGAATGAGGCTCCCACATTAATGAGTGAGGATGTGCTCAGGGGCTTAGTGATGCTCGTGAACGCTGCTCACTGTCGCTGTGACGATCTGTGTCTATTTACAAACAGAACCCAGGTTACTATGGCATAAAGGCTTCAGACATATCAGTTTGGCACGTGCCAAATGACACACCACTGAACAGCTGGAAAGATGCAGCAATCCTCCGCTATCACACCGAAACCAACTTCCTACAACAGTATGGAGGAAACTTGTATCAGCTGTTCCAAGTGAGTATCTTAGCAGTGCCTGCATTTCATAAAAATCAGAATCACTACAGTATGGAAACAGGAGTTATGTCTTATCTCCATTACTTATTAGTCAGCACTGTTAAGATTCAGGTGAACAAGGAATAATGGTGAGTTTAATTAAAAAAAAAGACTTGCATGTCAATGGTACTTTTCATAACATCTGGATGTCTCAAAATAGTTTACTACCAATTACTTTATTAATGTTTAGTCAGTATCATAATGGGAAAAAAGATGAGCAATTTTAACTGACCTTTCTCCAAGTTCACTATAATATGCAGGGACTTAAATAAATTACGGTATTCCAATGTTAATGGGCTTTGTCTACAAAAGTGATTAGCTGAAGCTCAGCATAACATTTAAAAAGAAAACATAGATGGGAAATTAGCAAATTGCCCCTAAAAAGCATTCATAGCTGCCTGGGATAGATTCCAGTTCACGATTCTAACAAAAAACATTTGTGTATCCAAAAACTTAATTTGTTCAAAATTAAAGAATATTGAGGGTTGCGTTATTCCCCCACCCTCACAAACCCCACTTTGCCCTTAATTTCCTCACAGACAATAAATTAGATTTATATTAAATTGTTTAGTGGTTAAGAACCGCAGCAATGGTGAGAAATCATAAGGGGATAAGGGATGAATTACTTTTGTTTGAGGACTTTGGAAATAAATATCGATGAGGGCACTATTGGAATTACCGTCCTTTTATTTGAATTGAATTATGGGATCATCTGTATCCCTGTTGAATTGACAACAACATTTTGTTTAGGAAAAAAGAAATCATCTAGCAAAGGATGTCCTTCAAACAATGTGACACCGTCTCTCAATGCAACAGACCCTCTGTACTGCACAGTCTAGATTGTGTGGCCAAGCTACTACATGGAACTTGGCCCGTCAACCTTCTGCCTGCCAGATACCAAATTGCTATTGGACCAAGCTGATAATCAGGAGATAATGGGAGATTCAATATAGAAAGCAGTAATATCTTCATGGATGATGTGAGATTGGAAAGGATTGGGTAGGAAGATGATGCTTGGGGAGGATAGAACTGCAAAGTTAGGAAAATTGTGGGATCAATGGGCGAAGGAAGAGGAAGGGTCACAGAAGAACAAGACATCAAGTAGAATATCTTTCAGCCTGAGAATAATGTGCTCAATTTCAGCAACACCCTGTCGAATACAACAAAGGGAAATGTCCAGATGATAACGGGCCATTAAGTCGCATCACTTATGACTTCGGTAATGATGAGAAGATAAAACAGTTGTACGGGCCTTTCAGTCAACGTAAGTGCCGAATTCTTTATTTACTCTATACCAGCAACAATGGGCATCACCTTCAATTGGTTACCTAAAGCTTGGTGCAACTTTGGAAAATAGCAAGAGAGCTTGGATTTTGGAGCCTGTTGTGTCCAAATCAAGAATCAACTGCAAAGTCCATGTGAAGGTCACAGATGTATAGTAGTCCTAATCTCATTGAATGGCTCAACAGGCCAAAGCATCTTTCCTGTTCCTATGTCCATGCTTCAAATCATGACATTATTATGTAAGGATGAACGGTGATTAGCTAACCTTCTGTCAGGGCCACTCAGCTCTAGACCTCATTATTAACCTCAGTTCAGAAGAGGTGAGGCGAGATTTTGCGCAGGGGCAGGCGAGAGTGCTCCACCTAGACTGCATAGGAGCAAAGCAGAAACAGCAAATTCTGAAATGACCCAGCTAATCACCCAAGATCCTTCAACACAAAATTCTGAAAATCCTCAGCAGGCCTGGCAACAGCAGCAACGATCGGTTAATGTCTTTCTCCTTTCCATCTGTGACGGTTTAAACTGTGACATTCAAAGACCCAATGCGTTTTTTTAATACTTAAATAATCATGCGATTTGTTGTGTGTTTGCAGGCGAATTTGAACCAGGATATGTGCAATTCAGGGTATTCAACAATGAGAAAGCAGCACTGGCGATGTGTTCTGGAGTGAAATACATTGGATGCAATTCAGAACATGTGAGTACTAGGACTGCAGAAACGAGGGATGTTAGAGCAGTGGGTGGATGGTGCGAGTGAGCAATCAGAATCACAGAATTATCACGGTTCAGAGGAGGCCCCATTTAAACAATGCTCAGCTCCTTACGGGCAAAGTGCATAACCTTACATTTTCCCACATTATAGTTCCTGTAGTTTGTGTGGAGTCTGTATCTGCAGCTTTCTGAATCAGTGCAATTCAGCCTGTGACTCAATAGTTCATTTCCTCGCGATTTTGCCCATCGAAATGCTGATGAATATGACTGTTGAAATATTCCGAATTGTTTATGTCTAGGCGTGTATCGGGGGTGGAGGATACTTTCCTGAGGCATCGCCAAGGCAGTGTGGAGATTTCACAGCCTTTGACTGGGATGGGGTTGGCACACATCGGTCATGGAGTGCATCAAAGGAGATTACAGAGGCTGCAGTGTTGATCTTTTACCGTTAATGCAGGCCATATCCTCATGGGAGTACCTTGTTAGTCCACTGACAATTGACTGCAATGTGACAAAGTGCCTTTGTTTAAAAAAAAATTGACTTGATGTAATGGTGTACTTCATTCTAATTCAGAAATTAGCATAAGTCCAAGAAGAGACTACTTGTATAACATTGAATGCTTGGTGTGCGGGATATATTATGAATCACTGATCATGCGAGGAGTTTCTGAAAATTATTTTTTCTAAATGCTGTAGTGGCTTCCATCAGATTCCTGACAGGATTTCAATAAACTGGCATTATAAATACTACCTGCATGTGTTTGTTTCCACAACTTACTGTATCATCCAACTTATCATATTTCACAACTTAATACAAGAATGATTCTTAGGCATGCTTTCAGGAGATTGAGTTCTGATAAGTGATGAGTGTTCAGTGGTGGTAAATAAAAAAAAATGCAGGAGGTATCCTGCCCAGATATTCATTTCCCTTATCAATGTTAAAAACATTACATGTCTTCATTTTCTCTCATGCCTCAAAATAATCCTTCAATGTTTTGAAATGCAACTAATCATAACACGTACTTCAATGATCAGCCTAAATCAATTTATCTGTACTTAATTTTATTTCAATGAAAGAAGAATTTAACATGATACAATGCTCTGCATTTCAAACTGCTTGTCCCATGGAAGGCCAAATCTGTTCTCTCCATGTTACCCGTGTTTTAAAGCTCTATGCTGTGGACTGCACCTGACAAAGAAGCAGGGCTTCAAGAGCTACTGATTTCAAATAAACCTGTTGGACTATAACCTGGTGTCGTAAAACTCTACATTACAGCCTATGCATGTGATTAAAGGAATTAGATTGCTAATGTAAGATAACACAGTGTAGAGCTGGATGAACACAGCAGGCCAAGCAGCATCAGAGGAGCAGGAAAGCTGGCATCCTTAGAAGAGGCTTCGCAGTGGGTTAATGTAGTTGTTACTCAAGAAATCTGTTTTCAAAAGAAGGCACAAGGCTTGACATATTCCTTTTCGAGTCAAACCATGTTTTTGATATTCAGACTTGGTCTTTGTTGTAGCTCCCGTGTAGGTATAGAAATAGTTGTTGCTTGTACTCTGTCTCTCTCTCTCTCTCTCACACACACACACACACACACACTCTGATGTGTCTATCTCTGCCTGCAAGAGGACACACTTTGTCGTGGAGGGAGGTTTGAATGAATGAATGAAAAAGTGATGTTCAAATGCTGAGTCTGTCTGTCCTACTTGTGCTTAACGTGATACAATGCCACCCTCTGGTGCCCTCCCTGCATCACTGTACAAGGGGTAGATTTTCTTTGGGAAAACATCAATTCTCCTCATAAAACAATTCACCTGGAGGTGCCTGGATACAGTTGCAGTAGAATTACTCAATTTAATGCGGATAATGTCAGGAATGTTGATCAACAAACAAATAACGTGTGTTGTAGAAATACAAGTAACTTTAAAAACACATTGCAGAAAGAACAAAAACATTTCTTAGCATGAGCATCTTCCACTCTGAGGGACCTCAGTACGATTACAAGAGTCACAGACAGAAAGAGACAGAGAGAGGGCGCAACAGAGCGTGAGAACCACAGACACATGCAGAGAGAGAAAGCCTCAAAGAGGAAAAGAGAAAAAGAAAGCCAGAGAGAGAGAGAGCCACATAGAGAGAAAGCCACAGAAAGTGAGATAGAGAGAGGGAGGGAGAGGGAGAGAGAGAAAGAGCCAGAGAGAGTGGGTGAGCCACGGAGTGAGGGAGAGGGAGAGAGAGAGCCAAACTGTTAGTTATAAAATTGAACAGATGTGTATGATGGAATTGAACATAAGATTATTAACCAAAGGTATATCATTCCTCAGAGTACATCAATGGATATTATAAGGTCATTTCACATTTTCATCCGTCAATGCTGGGAAGCAGCTCCTTGACACGAGTTGTGTTATCGGTGTTTAAAGATCACCAAGGCCATCTGTGCGTGAAGCACAGGAGATGGTTGAGATACCAAACAAATGTTTCAGGTCTGTATTTACTGTGGAGAAGGATCTGGAAACTAGAGAAATTGAGGAAATAAATAGTGATATCTTGAAAAGTGTTGATATTAGAGAAGTGGAGGTTCTAGAAGTCTTAAAATGCCTAAAGGTGGATAAATCCCTGGGACCTGATCAGGTGTATCCCAGGACTTTGTGAGAAGCTAGGGAAGAGATTGTTGGGTGCCTTGCTGAGATATTTGTACCATTGATAGCCACAGGTGAAGTGCTGGAAGACTGGAGCCTGGCTAATGTGGTTATGAATTTTTTTAAAAGAAATGTAGTCAGGAAAAGACAGGGATCTATAGACCAGTCAGCCTGACGTCAGCAGTGGGTAAGTTGTTGGAGGGGATCCTGAGGGATAGGATTTACATGCATTTAGTAAGGCAAAGGCTGATTACAGACAGTCAACATGGCTTTGTGAATGGGAAATCGTGTCTCACTAACTTGATTGAATATTTTGAAGAGGTGACAAAGAACATTGATGAAGACAGAGCAATATACATTGTTTGTACGGATTTCAGTGAAGCATTTGACAAGGTTCTCCATGGTAGACTGTAGGTGACAGTTAGATCTCATGGGATCTGGGGGGGGGGAGCTGTAAATTAGAGGGCAATATATGTGGCAGTATTCTTCATTAACTATTTCATCAATGGACTCCTGATTCTCCCAACAACATTCCGAATAAGTCCTTTACCATTGCAGAAGCATCCTAAACTGCTATTATTATCATTTCTTGGAGACATTGTAATAGAAGCCAATATGGCTGTTAACAGTACCAACTTAAAATAACCAGCAATTTCTCAGAAGCAGTTTTGAAGATTTATAGACTTTATTTTAGTGCGTATGGAGAGACATGTTGAAACGTTTTGTCCTTCACTCATCAGGATTAATGCAAGAACACAAAATTTCAAATGATTACAGCAATTTACATTAGAGGAGAAATGCAGGTGCAGATCAGTTGGGAAGTCAATTCATTGACCAAGACATTGCCATGGAGAAAGGGCCAGGGAAATAGTTGCTGCCTATGTTTCCCCATTAAGGTGTTGGGAGGTCATGTTGTGGCTGTACAGGACCTTAGTTTGGCCACTTTTGGAGTATTGCATGCAATTCTGGTCTCCCTCCTATAGGAAAGATGTTGAGAAACTAGAAAAGGCTCAAAAAAGACTTATGAGGATGTTGCCAGGGTTGGAGGGTTTGAGCTATAGGGAGAGGATGAATAGGCTGGGGCTATTGTACCTGGAGCATCGGAGGCTGAGGGTGACCTTATAGAGGTTTATAAAATCATGATGGGCATTGATAGGGTAAATAAGTAAGGTGTTTTCCCTGGGGTGGGCGGGTCAAAAACTTGAGGGCATAGGTTTAAGGTGACAGGGAAAACATATGAGAGGGACCTAAGGGGCAACTTTTTCACACAGAGGGTGGTGTGTGCTTGGAATGAGCTGCCAGAGGAAGTGATGGAGACTGGTACGATTACAACATTTAAAAGGCATCTGAATGGGCATATGAATAGGAAGGGTTTAGAGTGATATGGGCCAAATGTTGGCAAATGGGATGAGATTTATGTAGGATATCTGGTCGACATGGATGAGTTGGACTGAAGGTTCTGTTTTTGTGCTGTATATCTCTATGACATTATGACCCTAATTCAAGAAATGTTCTAAGTGTTGAACACATTCCTTTTGTGTGAAACTATGCTGTTGATAATTCAGATTTGATCTTCACTGTAACTCTGGTTTAGGGCAACAAATACTTATTTGTTTATCCAGAAATTGAACATTATTAAAAATAAAATTGCTGTTGAGGTTTTGCATCTTGCTGATGTTCAAGACTGATCCAAGAATACTAAAATTCAAAGCGAGCAATAGTTAATGCTACATGAGAAAATGATGCTGAACAATCAGCAAGTCAACTGTGATTGATCAAGGTGTTACCATGGAGAATGCATGAGGGGACTGTTGTCACCAAGTTTTTCTCGAATTCAGGGATAATGTAAATCTGGACATATTCCTTCAGCCGCTTCAGTCAAGCATGAGAGAGTCACGTTATGAACACTTCAGTTGATCTTAAGCATATTTTCTGTGTATTTGTGAGTACACTTGGAGTTGTTCAGGATGAGCTGTTCCATCACAACCACATCCATTGATTGACATAGTGCTGTGATTTTTGCAAGCTCAAGCTCGCTCACTATAGTCAGTATTGTGCCTCTTGTGAACAGCCAAAGAGAGACACTATTTGTTTTGAACTGGAAATATTGTAAGGGCAGAGCTGGTTACACTTGCTGGAAGTGAAGAGTATCTGTACAGAGGTACCAGCTGACTAGAAACAAAAGTGAAATGTTGAAAGCATGTGGCTTTGTGGAATTAGAAGCAGGAATGAGCCAGGGCCAATAGATCCCTACAACTTCCTTTAGGGCTATGCTGAGGTCAATTGGGATTGATTAACAAGCTATCAGCCAGTGTCATTCTCCTTCAGTATAAATGGTTGTGATCCTTTGGAACTAAATATTCTTGTCCTGATGAGGCAGCATTCAAAAACATTTCAAAAAAAGGATTTAGGTTGTGATTTTCTGACTCAGTTTAACGCTTAAATAAAGTTTGTTCTGGATGGTGAAGATCTAGGACAGGTAAGTTGATGGGCCTTACATGGGGTCTTAACACGTGTGACTCCTCACGTTTCCCATATAAGATTCTAAGGATCAGGAGAAGACGACGATTTGTCCCAGGATGATCCCTTTCTGAGATGAGATCCTCCATGTTATAGGATTTGTCAAGCTGCACAATGATGTGCCGGTTCTCTGGCTGCATGAACCAATCCCTGATGAGGAATTCGCCGGAAAAGTCACCTTCTTGGATGTTTAAGAGCCTCCCAATGAGCTGCACATCCCGTCTCTCTAGGAAGAGGTTGTCCTTCGTGTGCCGACTGCCCAGGACGATGGTATCGTATTTCAGGTCTTTCGTGAAGTTGTCGATCACTTTGAGACCTCCTGAGCCATCCAGGTTGTAGAGGTCGGCTTGTCTCCGCCCCTCAGGGTATCCCGGCCATCCAAAGGGAGGAAGAGGACATTGCCCCCTTCCCCGCTCAGGAAGTTGTCGCCTCCTGAGCCGATCAGCACGTCGGCGTAACCGGTGCCGATGGTATTGTCCACCGTGTAGCATAAATCGCC